AAATAAAAAGAATATGAAGGACATGGACACACACACACTAAATGTTAACAACTGTCAAACACATGATAATCTTGTGATCCTGACTTACTTCTTTATATCTTTATGCAATGCTGCTTAGGCATTTTGTTGTAGTTATTCGTTGCTTATAATCAACATCTAATAAGATCTTAAGAAAAAGATAATAAAACTATACATTTGCAGGGGGAAAAAAAAAACCAAACAACCTGATTAAAAATTGGGCCAGAGACCTTAACAGACACCTTGCCAAAGAAAATTTACTGCCAGAAAATTAGCATATGAGAAGATATTCCCCTTCCTTTGTAATGAGGGAATAGCAAACTAAAGTAAGGAGGGACCACCACACAACTATGAGGATGGCCAAAATCCAGAAGAGCAACTCCACCAAACACTGATGAGGTTGTGGAGCAACAGGAACGCTCATTCATTGCTGGTGGGAATGCAAAATAGCTGAGACACTTTGGAGGACGGTTTGGCAGTTTCTCCCTAAGTTCAACATACTCGTACCATATGATGCAGCACTCATATGTCTTTGTATTGACCCAAGGGAACTGAAAACTACTGTCCATGTGAACACTTGCACACAGATGTTTATAGCAGTTTTATTCAGAATTGCCAAACCCTGGGAGCAACCATGATGTCCTTCAGTAGATGACTAGGTACATACACTGTAGTATATTTAGACAATGGAATATTACTCAGACCTAAAAAGTAATGAGCTATCAAGCCATGATAAGAAATGGAGGAATCTTAACTGAAAGAAGCCAATCTGAAAAGACTACTTACTGGATAATTCCAACCATACGACCTTCTGGAAAAGAGATCAATGGCTTCCAGAGATTAGGTGGAAGCAAGGGATCAGTAGGCAGAGCACAGATGACTTTTAGGGCAGTGAAACTCCTCTATGTGATACTATAATGGTGGATACATGTCTATACACGTTTGTCCAATGCCACAGAAGGCACAACAGTCAAGAGTGAACGCTAACGTAAACTATGAACTCTGGGTGACAATAACTTATCCATGTAGGATCATCAATTGTAAGAAATGCAGCACTCTGTGGATAGGGGGGATATTGATAATGGGGCAGGCTATGCATGTATGGGGGCTGAGGGCATATGGGAGATTTCTGTACCTTCTGCCCAATGTTGCTGCAAACCTATAACTGCTCTATAAAACACAGATTATTTTTTTAAAACAGAGTTTAACTTACATGAGTATTGTACTAATAGAATGTTAGGTATCACTGTGTAGATTTTTTTTAAACTATGCAGGTTTTTTTGAGTAAACAGATTGGTGTTATTCTAGATACCTTTTCTTATGAAAAAAAAACAAGTAGAAATGTCATTTTTAAAAAAAGAGAAATCAACTTCTGTTGTAATGATACATCTGCTTTATGAATGTAATGTCTTATTCAGCTCATTTGAATTTGTGGATAAACTCAAGTGCATAACCAAAGCCCTGACAGAAGAATTTAACTGCAGGTAAAGTTCATAGATTAAGCTTAGACTTGAAAACACTATGTGCTCTTGGGGACATAAGAGGAATTTTCAGGTAACTGTGGTATTGCTCATTCTTCATCACAAGCCACACAGGGGAACTTGGGAACCACCTGCAAAGATTGTTGGTGTCCTTTGGTAAGTCATATTGAGGCTTGGGACGGGGTGTGTGTGGGAAGACCTCCTTTCTGAAGAGGAGAGAATGGGAGCCAGTTTGCTAAAAATGAGTCACTCTGTACTTGAAAAGGTGACGCTTGATTTGTGTATGTCCAGAAGCTGATCAATTGGTCAATAATATTCATTGATCATTCATGGCTTACAGAGAACTAAAGCCAAAGTGGAAAGAGGAATCACATTGCAGGACTCTTAGCACAGTTACCATTTAATTGGCGAAACAGGAAAAGCAACCACGGAATAGTTCCAAGAAAGTCTTAAAACAGTGTTTAACTAAAGTGTATGGGACTAAAGAATAGTGAGTGGGTGCAAGGATAGACCTTGTCCAATTTATCTTTTCTTTGAAGTGGAATGTAACAGGATGTGTCTGAATTGGTTGGCATCTTGAGGGTAACGGTGGAGGTATTTCACTTGCACGTGGTGTCCTACTGTCTACTAGTGGTGGGTGCCAGAATTCTCCTTTGAGTGGGCCTGGCTTCAGGATTGGCGCTCTCTGTGCTTTGCTGTGATGCCAGGGCCACTCTGTTTTCTGTCCTTCATCACTAGGTCTGAACAGGCGATGCTGAGTGTGAGTGAACAAGTGTCTCAGGAAATCCATCAAGGCCTCAGAGACAGGGGCTTCACTGCCCTGAGCAGTGAAAACGCAGCATCACTTATAGGCCAACTCCAGAACATCGCTAAGAAGGATAACTGCATTCGTAGCATCATCGATAATAGTCCCCCCCACCCCCCAGGTTGTGGTGGCAAGGGTTGGCAAGAATGGGGAGGATGAGCTGGAAGACACAGCCCTGGAAGTCAGCTCCCAAACAACATAGAAATGGAAAAGCGTGATCACTGGGAAATTCTTTTGGCCTTAGTTTCCTCATCTATAATATGCAGGGGTGCAGTTGACCTCTTGTAGTTTGAAGTGAGTGCATAATTCTGAGGTGTATCTGCAGCTAGCATATATGACTTTGAGGTGTGTGAGATACTGTCCCACCAACCCTACTAATTCTTCCTTGGTCATTGTCTGTTTGCAGCCCAAGGCCTTTGGTAGGACACCCTTTTTGTATCTCATGCTCTTAGCTACCAAGCTGGCTTCTACATTCATCCCAGGAACTGATGCTGACTTAGGCTGCAGAGCATATTAAATGCTTGAATGGAAGCACTGAACTTGACCAGCTAGCTTCTAACTTTCATAACTTTACATAGTCTGCTTTGGGTGTGTGGAGCTGAATTTGGTGAATTGGCCTGAACGTGTGGACCTTAGAATCTCACATGCAACATCTGGGAGCCTCCTAGTAGGTCAGATGCATGCCAGGAGCTCACTTACAGCCACGTAGCCTCATTAATGGACAGAAATTTACGAGCTTAACATATTTTGATCATGCACTCTGTTGGGGAGTTTGGTCGCGTTCCCTCCCCCAGAATAAACCAAACAGATCTCATTTAATTGATTTACCCAAAATGGGTGCATAGGTCAGTGAAATTCCTCAGGTTACGTAAACTTTGGGGAGCAGAGAGCACAAAGGCATTGTGCATTTCTTCTCAAACCTCTTTGATCTTCTCCTTTCCATAGTTTTCACTAGTTCACAGGTCAGCGGACCCGTGTACTTCTCCAATGCCGATTGGTTCGTGACACGCAGAAATCTCAGGTAGACTTCCCTGGAGGCTTTACTGTCACTGAGGGGGAGCTGGCAAAACTGGGCTGTAAGTTTCCCAACCTGATGCATCCCAACCAGTAGGTGTTTAGCCCCTGCTATGCTGAAATATTTAAAAAATATCATCCCATCAGCTCAGGCACAGGGAACACAAGTGGAGTCTATCTGATAGTGCTGGCCCCTGGCCGTGGCAACAGGGATCCAGAAGAGAGGGCTCAGCATGTTGCTGGGATGCCATCACCTGTGGACGGCAGAGCAGTCTTCCTCACTACATCCAGGACGCAGGACCGCAGTGTACAGGCACGCAAACGCTGAGTAGCCCAAACCCCTTCATCAGTAAACTTCTGGGCTGCAGGAAAACCTTTGTTTCTTTTGTGTTGCAACTGGACCCAGGTCGTGTGCCCTTATCCCCTAACTAGCTGACAGGAAGCCAGTTGGCCCTCAGTTTGCCTTTCAGTGACTGATCTTTCTTCAATATGCTCGCTTGAGCAGGCACCAGGGTATCATCAGCTGCTAGCATTATTTTCTCTAGTGAGAAGTCGGTGTCTTGAGCACCATGGGAATTCTGTGAAATTGTCCAGAGTGTTAGTAGAAGGGCTTCTGGAAGTCAGAAATTCACTGGGCTACAGATGAAGAGACGGCATAGAACACCATTTCTAGTATCAGACTTCCTTACAGTTTTCAAGGATGCAGCAGTAGTAAGAGCCCCCACCTCGCTGTGTGACATGAAGCAGTATGAAAACTGGGGTCTGGACTAAAGCTGACACTATCTGCTCGCAAGTACTCAGTTGGGGAGAGGTCCCAGCCTTTGTCTCCCATGGGATCCTCAGAGTCAGAGTTGGAGTCTCTGATAGTGACAGCTGAGCCAAGCAGTTAGGTCAGTGACTTATCTGTGTCATGTCCATCCCGGGTCCCATTCTGTAGCTGAAGGAATCTCCTGTTTCCAAACCTCCAGGCTTAGAACACACCATTCTCTTTGACGGAAGTGATGTGGGTATTCAGCGCTGGGAGCAGCCACCACACCTCTTCCCACTTGCAGTCTGGGACAGTGTTAACTGCCAGGTTACAATCGTCAGCTCGGTTGGCATCACAGATGACTGGCAGTCTAGCTTTGCAGGTACCTGGGCTTGTTTTCTTAGGTTGTAGAGATTCATCCTCTCATTCTCAGGCCAGTTGAAGCAGACCAAAAGCAATCTATGAAGATACGGGGAAAAGTCAGTTTAGATTTGGACTTGGTTGGACTGCAACAGAGAAAATAGAAACTCACTTGTGGGATATTGTAACTGGGTGGGAAAATGTCCTTACCATTTCAGGGTGGATAGAGCTGTGTATCCTACTAGCCCCACCCCCTCCCCTGCCCCCAAAGAAATAACAGGTGGGATTTCAGTTCTGTGAACCCCAGGGTGATTTCTCTGGAGGGTGGATCCCAGATGGGTGACACAGCCAGGTGAACAGAGTGAACCTTTTACTTTGGCTGGATGTGGAGAAGCTGGGAAAGACACCATTTGGGGGTTCTAATTTTGTGACTTAAGTCTCAGGAAAGAAACCCAAGCTGCTTACTATGGTGTACTTAATAAACAGGCAGTGAACTGTTTCTAGTTGGATTTTCTGAATCTGATTTGTCACGAGTAAAGTTTAAGACAGAAATCTTAGCTTTGGAAGCCTGATTCTTAATAGAAAGATGTGCTCTTAAGGGATCCCTGTGGAGGTGACTGAATAGTTGGTGGCTACAGACATTGGACCAGAATGCAATTTTGCTTGTTGTTTTATAATTAAAATATGGCACGACTGATTTCTTAGGGATTCTCAGTTGGTTCTGTGTACGTACATGGAGAAGGTAGAAATCCGAATCAAAAACAAACACAGTCCACTGGATCCTGCTCATCACGGAGGGAGAAACATATGTATGTGGTACGTGCACGTGTTTAAAAAAGACCTGCAGAGAAAAGTCAATTGTTCTCCCACCCCGTTTCTCATTTTCCCTATCCACAGGAAACCACTGTTACCGTATTTTCGTGTATCCTTCCAGAGATGGTCTACACAAGTGCAAGTGCATATTATGATAATAGATAACGTTTATGAGCACATATGTGCCTGGCACTGTTTTAAGCTCTCTACATAAATGATTTCATTTATTCCCTCACAGTTTCTCTCCAGTCTTTCCTTCCATTTCTAACGCTATGTGTCTCAAGAAGTTGCAGTTGGGAGTCAGACCTTGCTGTCTTCTCTGGCTGAGAGAGTAAGGTAAAATCTTTCGGTTTTCTGGGCTTTTTCTTCATCTATAAAATTGCCTATTGGATTGAATCATTGATCTTATTGTTTAATCTCATACAGCCATTCTACAAAACAATGAAATATTCCCAGGTGGCCATGAAAGAGATAAAAAGTAGGCAGCTTGAGTTGAAGAGCAGCTGGAAGAAGTAGTTTTGAAGATGGTTTGAAAACCACTGGCCCAGATGATGTCTAAATGTTCCTGTATTATTTTCTTCTGGCTGCTGTGACAAATTCCCATGAACTTGGTGGCTTAAGACATGCATCACTCTCTCATAGCCCCAGAGCTCAAGTCTAAAATCAGCTTCACTGGGTCAAGACTAAGGTATCAGCAGGGCCACCCTCCCTCTGGTAGCTCTAGAGGAGAATTTGCGGACTTGTCTTTTCTACTTGTAGAGCTGCACTCTCGTCTTCCCTAACTTGTGACCCATTCCCCCATCATCCAACATGGTAGCATAGAATCTTGCTTCAGTCGGCACATTGCCCCCTTCCTCTGTGTCAAATCTCCCTCTCTCTTCCTACCAAAACCTAACCAGGCTTTTTGGACATGTAGAGAAGCTTATTCTAAAATGTACATGGGACGACAGAAACCCCAGAATAGCTAAAACATGCTTTATAAAGAAGAATAAAGTAGAAGGAATCACTTCATGTAATGTTATTCTTACTATACAGCCACGGCAATCAAGATAATGTGACCTCAGCAGAAGTATGGACAGATGTATGAATGGAACAGAATATAGACCCCAGAAATAGAACCACACTATGTTCAAGTGATTTTTGAAAAAGGTGCAGAAGTGATTTAATGAAGAAAGTTCGACTTTTCCACAAGCATGCTGGTGTCATAATGTGACATCCACAGGCAAAAAAGAAAAAACGGAATGATCCTTGACCAAACTGCACCTTACATGAACAACTAACTCAACATGAGTCACAGATTTAAATGCAAAACTATAATACTTTAAGAAAATATCACAGGAGAAAACATTTGGATCCAGAGCTAAGTGGACTTATTTGACGTGGCATCAAAAGCACAATCCATTAAAAAAATAATAAATGGGACCTCATCTAAATTAAAAACTTTTCTCTTTGAAAAGCTGTGGAATTGATTAAAATGTTAGCTACAGAATGCAGAAAAATTCAGAAACCACATAGCCTTCAAAACACTAGCACCTAGAAAATAAAATAAACTCTCATATCAACTATCAACAGTGAAAGAAAGCACGTAGAAAATGGGTGAAAGACATGAGCAAAAGTTTTGGCAAAGAGGACACACAGAGGGCAAATGAGAATATCAAAATATCATCCACATCATTAGGCATCAGAAAGGGAGATATCACTATACACCTATTAGAATACCTATGAAAAATTTTTAAAGGGGATAACATCAAATATTGGCAAGAACGTGTGGGGAAACTGGATCACTCATGCATTAATGGCTGGAATGTAAAATGGTTCAGGCACTTGCTAAAATGGTTCGGCAATTTCTCTGAAAGTTAAACATGAACTTAATTAACATGTATGCCAGAACTCTCACTGTGGGATTTAAATTAAAGGCTTAATTTCACACAGAAACTTGTACAGGTTTTTACAGCACCTTTAATTTGAATTACTCACCAAACAGAAAACCCCAAGTGTCCCTGAATGGGTGAATGGTTGAAGAAAGGGTGGTATATCCACATCACGGAATTCTACTAACAATAAAAAGTTACACATTCTTGACAAATCCAAAAACTCTGGTGGATATTCAGAGAATTGTGTTTCGTGAGAAAGAGCCAAACCCCAAACTTACTAATATAGGATTCCTTTTACGTAGTTTTGAAATGGCAAAATTTTATAAATGGAGATGGTGTAGGAGTTTCCATAGGTTAGGTATGGGGAAGCATTCTAGAAGGGAGGTACATGTGGTCATGGAATAGAACACTATAAATGAAGAAATAGAAAAACAAAATGGCAAAACTAGAGAGATCAATGTGCTGATGGAATTCTTTGGCATCTTGTCTATTGTGATGGATACATGGACCCACATGTGATAAAACTACACAAAACTAAGTACACACACACACACACACACACACATAGACACATGCACTGGAATAAAGCAAAATCTAAATAAGATCAGTGGGTACTCTCAGGGTCAAAATCCTGGCTCTAATACCATTTCGTAATATGTCATCATTGGGGGAAGGGGACAAAGCGTCCATAGGGCCTCTATGTGTTATTTCTTACAACTGCATGTGAATGTACAATTACCTCCAAACACAAAGTTAAAATATCTTTATTTTTTTTTTTTTTACAAAAGAAAAATGTGCATCCCCATCCTGAATCTATGCTGCATTCCTCCAGGGGAAGAAACACCTAGTGCATCTTTCATTGACATGGCACAGATTCCTGAGGCATAGTCTTGAGGCAGCAGAAGGGGTTACTTCTATCTAACATTCTTACCATCCACCTACGAATGTTAGGATTCAGAAGGAAGATAGAACAGAGACTCATTTGTGCAATTACTGAAATTGAAAAATGAAATCAGACTTTCAATAATGAAAGGTACTTCTGATCACATTTGAATTTGTTTTTCAGCTAGGACTAGCTTTCCAGTTAAGTAACATGCTGACGTTTCCCATAAACTGAGTGAAGTAAGACTGTGGTGCCAAGATTTAGAAAAAGGATACTCAAAGCACATACAAAATGTACAATATACCAGGGACCAAATCCTTTGCCAATGAAATATGTGAGAGGGCTGTTTCCAAAATTCTGTTAGGATATATAAAGGGGTGGGGGAAGAAAACCTTACCTTAAGATTCTGCTTTAGAAAACTCTCTGCTGTTGTGATCTGCCCCAAGGAATACTCTGCCTAAAGAAAGCTGTTAAGTGCTTTATCATCCCAACCTGCCCATTTCC